GCAGTGTCAGCGCATGGCACGGTGCAGGGACGCAGCCTGATGTCCACTGAGAAGGAAGAATGGCCCATTACAGGAGATGCAGGCAGCAGAAGGGACCTCAGTGGTGAGCGACGGTCACAATTGGGCATCACAGGTACATGTGAGCACATGCATGTGGAATAAGGAGACAGAAAGCAGCGCCACGTCACTCCACACGGTGCAGAAGCGGGCCAGCCTGGCCCAGCATGTGAAGCCATGATCCTGGCTAACTGGCAGGTGGCCGCCTGCAGGAGGAACCAGGGCTCAAAGAGTTGGCGGTGATAGTGTTTGTTGGAGTGCTGTCTCTCCAGTGACTGTGTGTCAGCCTTGCGACTGTGTCCTTCAAACGTGTCTTTTAAATAGAAGGATCATCCCCATACCTGTACCTCCCCTTTTTAGGGCAGATTTAAGGGAGAGCTTTGAAGCCTGAGAACTCAGCAGGGCCCCCGTGAGCTGCTGCGGAGACTGGGCAGAAGCCCTATGGTCCTTGTCCTGGCTTTAATACCAGCCTTATAGTGGCTCTGTCTTTACCTCGGACTGCCTCGTCCTGTAGCCTGAGTAGCTCTCAAATGAACAGAAAGCAGCTTTCCATTCTTTGCAGGCTGCTGGGGTCCCTTCATGGAGACTGAGCCTGTGCAGCTTGCTCCCCTAGGAATGGTCTGGGAGGACACAGCTGCTGGCTTGCCTGGTGGCTCCACAGTGTGGCAAGCGGGCAGAGCTTTGACCCTAGATCTCTGGCATGGCGACTGGAGGCCCTGGAGCCCCGCACCTTGCTGGGCTGCTGCTTTACACTCTGACAGCCGATGTCTGCTTGGAGTGATAACTCACCCCTGCCTATGCGCCGTGCCCTCAGCTTCCGGACTCAGCTCCACAGGGCAGTTCCACGTGGAGCTCCTGCACCCCACACCTCTGTGGCCCACCAGAGAAGCCCCCGGCAGATCCTGAGTGTGGTTCCTGGAGGCAGCATACTCATCTGTTCTTTGTCTCTGCTTCCCTCCAGCTGGAATTCCCTTCTTCCCAGTGCGCAGACTCCGTACCTTTCCTGCAAAGCCATTCTTGACTTTCCTGCATTCTCTCCTCCTTTCCGGGAGTTTGTTTGAAGCACTTTTTGTGGTTGCACTTTTTTTCCCCCAAAGCTGTTTGTTTGCCTGTCTCACCTTCAGAGGTCATCACTGCAGACTTGCTGAAGGAGAGACACCTTTTTTCTTCCTCCTGTCAGTGCCTGGGGCTTAGGCGTTGGATGGAGGATTGTGAGGTTGGAAAGGTGCCGTGGGGTGGACCAGTGGGCAAGGACAACTTCCCACAAAGAGCAGGCTGACCCTCACTCTGGTGTTTGTTGTGAAGGTGGTATGGACTGGGTCGTCTTTGTTTTAGTTTCCAGAGAAAGGGAAGAAAATGGAATATAAGAAACCAGGTGCTTTGCGTACCCTCCTACCAGGAAGGGAAGGACTCTTGTGCTTTTCCCCAGACGTCTGAGTCCTCCTCTGACTGTCCATGCCTGCTCGGCAGGCCCTTAGGATCCCTCCATTTTTGTTGAAACATGAGCTTGCGGTTTTAGAAAGTTAGGTGTTTCAGAACAGATACTCAGACCACGAAGTCACTGGACGTGAGCCTGGTTGCACTCTGCCTGCCCTATTTTACATCAACTGGGCAGCGCTCTGGGCTCTGGGGTGGCCAGAGGGACCACAGAGTATCTGCCTTCCCCGGGTCCCAAGCCCTCAGCTCTGCAGCCTCATTGTAGTTGTTCCAATGACCTTAAAATGTTAGAATTCATGCGTTAAGTAGGATTTCATGCTGAATAAGTCCGGTTCTTACCTTGTGAATGAAATCTTCCCTCAGTTACACTGAGAAATTAGACGGTTAAGGCCTTGAAGACCGCTGCCCCCTTTAAGAAAGTAGGAAGTGTGTCGTCTCCGAGTGTTTCCGTTTGTTTATGGTCGTGCAGTAGAGTCACGTAACTCACTGAACGGTGCCGGGCAAGTAGTAAGTAGTAGCAAAACATTAATCTGCCTTACTTATTTTTCCCACACATGGAAACATTTGTGAAGCAGGGACTCATTTTAGTTATAAAGGTCCTTACTGGTGCTTAAACTCCAGACCCTTCAGCCTCTCCCCTCTTAAAAGGTGTGTTTTTAAAAACAGAAAACTTACTAAGTAAACCATATGTGGCAGCACCTGTCAGCACAGTACGCAGGGAGACTGAGGGAGGAGGAGGGTTGCAAGTTCAAGCCCAGCCTGAGAAGTTTGGAGACTCAGCCCCTAAGTAATACTGACTTAGAGGTGGAGGGGTTAGGAGCATACCTCAGCATAAACGTCCTGAGTTCAGTCCCCAGCCCTACCAGTGAATAAATAAATATCAATCAAAAATAAAAAGTTAATGAGAAAGAGAAGCAGAATCAAAGTGATTACCCCCTGGGTCTGTGCACTGAGTTCTGTACAGTGACAGGTGGTGGTAGAGGGCAGAAGACAGGAAGCTGGGTGTGCCACCCCGAGGCCTCGGCAGGGTCTGGGACCTCCTTGTTACCTGTGGCCATCCCTGCAGGCTGGCACATGTAGCTGTGTGAGCAACCACACGGTGACGGGGGGGGGGGGGGCGCGAGGCTTTCACTGGTTTAAGATACTCCTCGGCTGTGGTGGGGGCTGGCAGAGGTAGGGGAAGACACAGCTGCTCCCCCAGCAGCCCGGTGCCAGCAGACCTCTCTGGGAAAGAGCCTAGGGTGAAGCGTTGCTTCTGTCGCATGCCTATCACTTGTGCACGTCCTGAAGTTAGGTCACAGCTGCCTAACTGGAGGCCAGGGTGCTACAGGTCCCCTCCCAGTGCTTGGCAGGGGGTAGCAGTGTGTCTGTCTGCTGGGTAGGGCAGGAAAGGACTACTGGCCGCAGCTGGCTGCTGAGGGCAGTGTCAGGCCAGGCTGGATTTTGTCTTGTGAATGAAATAACCACAGAGTGCTCAATAACCACAGAATGCTCATGGAAGGGGGGGGGGGGCTGGGATGAGCCTGGAGTAGTGTGTCTGCCTCTCGCTCTGCACAGGAGCTCATTTCCATGCTAGTAGGGGTGGTCTGCGCTGCTCACATGTGTGAGACAGCCACCTGCTGTCCGTGGGGTCACACGCACTCCTGAGAGAAGTCGCCCATGTGCTTTTACCAGTCCCCTTTCATGTAGCTATCACTTTTCTGTTCTGTTCTTCCTGTTTATTTATTTGGGTTCAGTTTCTAACATTAAGGTCAAACATCAGGTCAAAATACTAAGTGACGCCTGATAGAAATCCAGAAAGTACTTAGCTCCAGCCCACAGTGCACTGCATGGAAAGTCCTTTCACACAGGACACCCTTGATGCAAGGCATGTTCTGTGATGTCTTTCAGGGAATTTGGGAGGCTTTTTGAAGAGAATTTCTAACAACAAGAGGGGGTCATGGCCAGCAGATGGGTAGAGAGGTTGGTAAAACCATGAGATGAGAAACAGCAGGATAGACCGTGAGCTGATTGGCTGTTAGGACAAACCAGAAATCCATGTAGAAAATTTAACCTAAATACTCAAGCTGTGGGATTTAAAATAAGTATGTACGTGTGTGTATTGGTGTGAAAAACTTGGAGTGTCCTGCTCCATCCCCCTAGATGAGCGGGCTAAAGAGACCAGAGCGTTCCCTCTGGCTATCAGGATGGTCTCCACCTGCAAAGACAGTTCTCAGCACCTCTGCAAAAGGGATGCCTGGGGCTGCGGTGTCTTTTTCTCAGCCAGGTTGGAATCCTCCACACAGTCCCTAGTGTGTGCAGTGTGCACAGTGAAGTCAGTTCCACACCCACAGTGGCACTGACAATGGCAGGAGCTGGGAGGGGCTTGGCCCTTGACCATGCTCGGAGTGTCCCTCTGAGTCTGGGTAGTTAGCAGCTCCCAGCACCTTGATTTTATATGTGACTTGTCTGGGAATGCAGCTGTGCCATGGGGGTTTTGTTTGTTTGTTTTTGGTAACCTGCTGCTGGCAGCCTTTGATGAATTCTAACATCACCTTGTCCCTAAAAACATAGCCAGCAAGGGCTGCAGCCACCTCCACTGGCATAAGGGACAGGAAGATGGCAAAGCTGATCTCATGACTAGTTTTCCTCGCAGACCCCACAGCAGCCCCTACAGGCACCAGGAAAAGAAATCACTCACTGCGATGGTGATCACAGGCAACAGGGTGCCAGCTTGGGGTCCCTACTCCCACTCGGGATAGGTTTGGCCACCATACCCGTGGTGCCCAGTCCCGTTACCAGCCTTGGGGTGGAATGCAGCAGGACACACAGCAACAGCTTGACCTGTTTCATTCTCACCCCACCCCCATGTTGCTGGCCCCCCAAGCATGAGCTTGCTGTCTCCTGTAGCAGAAAAAGAATTCTGTTTTGTTTTGTTTTGTTTTATTTTTTGGTCTGGGAATTGAAGTTAGGACCTCACACTTGCCAGGCAGGTGCTGCGTTATGCGCGGAGCCACATCCCCATCCTGGAAAAGGTCTGTTTTGCAAGAAAAGGCTCCTACTTAGGAGGGAGGCAGTGGGGGTTCAGAGAATGAGGCGCCACAGTGAGATATTTTAAACACTCTGTTGGCTGGCCACACTGCCCTTCTTGCCCTGACTTTCTGCGTATGTTTATGGGGATTTACTGGACTGTGGGCTGCGTGTTACAAGAAACATTGGGGGGGAGGCTGGGGATTTAGCTTAGTGGTATAAGCACCTGCCTTTAAGCAGGCAGTCATGAGTTCGATCCCTGGTACCGATGAAAAGGAAGAAGACAAAAAAAAAAAAAGAAAAGAAACATTGTAGGGCAGATGTCGTGCGTGTGCTCTGCCCAGAGCCAAATTGTGCTTTTGTCACTTCTAGGAGTTATGTGTTTTTTCTTTTCAGGTGAAGTATTTCTGAGATCACTGACCATTTCTGAAAAGTAGCATTAACATTGTTTGAAAACGACAAATGAACATTTTTCTCCCATTTATCTTCTTTTTCAGAGTGAAGATATTCAAAATGAAGTTGCTGGAAAATTTTAGTTCTTCATAGGAACTACAAAAATTGAAGGAAAGAACATTTTCCAAAGGAGATTGTTTTGAAAATATGTTTACACTAACTGATTCTGTACAGCTTTTAAAATAATAAAACACTTTGAGATTACATTTATGGTAAAAGGAAACTGGACTAACAATGAGGCCAAAGACTTTTCCTGCTACCACTTACTCTGGAAATAGCCGGCAGCGACTGCAGGAGATCCGTGAGGGGCTGAAGCAGCCCCCCAAGTCCTCCTCTCAGGGGCTGCCCATGGGACCACACAGCGAGGCTCCCCTGGATGCCAAGGTCCTGGGGAGCAAGGACGCCACCAGGCAGCAGCAGATGAGAGCCACCCCGAAGTTTGGACCTTACCAGAAAGCACTCCGGGAAATCAGATATTCCCTCTTGCCCTTTGCCAATGAGTCGGGCACTCCTGCCGTGGCCGAAGTGAACCGGCAGATGCTGCAGGAGTTGGTGAACGCGGGATGTGACCAGGTGGGTGCCGACTCTCTCTGTCCTCCGCCGGGACAGTTACAGTGGGCGGCCTGTGCGGGGACAGCAAGGCATCGGAGCTCTTGGGCCATACTCAAAGGCTTTGGATTGCTTGGTACTCACTGAAGTGTCTGCAGATTAACCCAGGGGCCTTTTATGTGTCATTAAATTCCAAGGGTCTTGGGCCATTTTTCCTTTTCAGGCAGGATCCGAAAGTGTCTGAATGTTCAGAAGTTGTGCCATGTGCACTTTCTGTTTTGTGTGTGTGTCCTGGGGATTGAAAGCAGACCTTTGCAGATTAAGAACACACCACTAGTTCTGCACTTCCGGCTCAGTTCTGAGAAAGCTGAGTGTGCTGTAATCTCAGCACTCTGGGAGCCTGAGGCAGGAGGATTACAAATTCCAGGTCAGCTTGGGTGACTTTGTGAGACCTTATCCCCAAAAAAAAAGGAGAAAAGAAGAGCTAGAAAAAATTGAGAAATCATCAAAATGTGATGGTACCCTTTGCCCTCTCAGTTGCTTAGGAAAGAAGAATGTGTTAGTAGAGGTTACACCAGTCATACATAAATACACAGCTTCACGCTGTGTTTTTGTGATCTCTTAGCAGTGTGCACACCTGAATAAAACTCATGTCGAAGGGTGGAACTTGTGTCCACAGGTGTGAAAATAGTTGGTAAGATACAACTAGCAAAATTGTAGTGAGTCTGTGAGAGGGCTTATGAAACTTAGTGTTTTATTTCCAACTGTCATCTTAAAAGCCACAGTTGCATGAAGCAGAAGTAAGCAAAATATTTTTGCTGCCTTGGAAAAGATGTCGTGCTCAAATCACACCAGGATTGATCACTTCAGCGCTTTTATTAGGCATAACCTAATTACCTGCCCCAGGCATTACAGTCATGGAAAAAGGGTAGCGGTGTCATCTCACCATCTTGTGTTTTCAAAGGCAGTCTCATTTCTCTAGTAGTTTATTATCATAGACCTGACCGAGACAATTAGCCAGGCATAATGGGACGCACCTGTAATTCTAGCACTTGGCTGCAGAGGCAGGAGGATTGCTGGAAGTGCAAAACCAGCCTGGGCTGCGTAGTTCTGGGCCAGGCTGAACTGCACAGTGAGACCCTGTCTGAGGATGAGGGGTGCTGGGGGAGGGAGGAACAGAGAGGACAGTGTGGCGTGGAGGGTTTTAGTGCTGACAGAGAGGCACAGTCTTGCTCATTGGGAAGCCTGAACTTAAATATGATGCCAAGTACTGTCCCTAGACACACGGAATGGGGTGATTTTGGAGGTGGAGAGGGTGCAGTCCTGGGGAAACCCAGAGGAAGGCTGTAGAGCTGCTTTTAGGGTAACACAAAGCTTAAAATCTGTAAGTCAGTTGCAAACAAAAGAAGCAGTCAGAGCCTAGTGTTCATTGCAGTTTTTCATCTGTGAGAAAAAGAAGTGAGTCAAGCAAATAATCTACAGTGCAGTGGAATCTTACTAGGGTAAAATTAGTGGTAATTATAGTGCCAGAAACAGGCTGGTGCTGTTTCTTTTTTTTTTTTTTTTTTTTTTAATCTTTTTCCTTTTTATCGGTACCGGGGATCGAACTCACGACTGCCTGCTTGCAAGGCAGGCACTTATGCTGCTGAGCTAAATCCCCAGCCCGCTGGTACTTTTTCTAACACACGTACTGTACAGGAGTGTTAAGGGTCGGGATACCTGTAGAGGTCTGTCTGCAGTTAACTGCAGATTATTACCGCGGGAGCTTCATTTACCATGTCAGTGCTCCCCAAACTGAAGAAGTGAGCTCCCGCCCCAGCCCTCCGATGCAGACGGGTGCGCTGGCTTCAGGAATTTCAGACAGGAAAGTTGTTCTGTGAACCGCTTTGAGGGGGAAGAGAGGGCCCTTTCTTCAGGACATAGGTGCCTATCTGCTGGGCACAGCAGATCATTAGGGTGCTGGGTAGTAGGTGAAAAGAATTCTCCTGTTACTTTAGTGCAGTTTTGTTCTTTGTAATTCCAGTTTAAGGCTGTCTTTCATCAGCATTCATCAGAGTGGCTGTGTGCACACTGCTTTCCGTGGTCTCATGGATGCCAGGTTGTGGCAGTGCTTTCACGAGCAATACCTTATTTATTGGATACATTTTTCCATTTTACTTGGACTAAAAGTTATGGGAATATTTACTTGAGTGTTGGTAAAGGACTGTTTGGTACAGGGGCTGGCTTAGGCCTTTACGCTGAGCTGTTGCACCCAAATTTTTTGTTGTTTGTTTTTTGAGACAGGATCTTGTCAGATTGCTTTAACTGGACTCGGATTTGCAGTCTCCTACCTCAGCCTCTCAGAGTGCTAGAGTTACAGGTGTGTGCTCCCATGGCAGACTAACTTTTATTAAAGTCAAATTTATATTTTAAAAGTGCACAATTTATAAGCTTAGTGCCTGGTGAATGTTTACATGTTAAGTATACCCATGCCAATTAACATTTTAAACTGACAATTACTAGAAAAAAGTAAAAGACTTTAGGATGGATGTTTTCTGATAATGGTGTAATATATATGTCAAATGATGTATAATAATTAGTTCATAAAACTGTAGGAAAAAATGAGTGAAGAGTTAAGAAAATTCCTATAAGTAAGAATAAACTAGGTCAGGTGTTCCTAAGCAAGAGCTTTTTTTAGATGTACAGATTCAAGGAATTGCAAAGATAAGATGTTTCTCATCATGAGTACCATGTTTTGTAGCTGTGGACACATTTTATTGGCATAAATAAGCATTTCAATTGCCAGTTTACTCCTTTAGTATTAAGTTCTACTTTTTCTTTAATCTTTATGGTTTCAAGTGACCATATTTCCAGGTTTTCCTCTTCACATTTTAGAAAGCACTCATTGATTCACAGTCATGGTCACACGCGTGCCCTTTTTCTGTGCAGAAGCCTGTGGCTCAGGTTGTCTCGCTGGTCATCGAGGGTAAACCGGGGCATCTCCAGGTCTGGGGGTTGGACAGTGCCTGGGGCCAGGGAGAGTGAGGGAACGCCTCAGCCCCCTCACCCTGGTGCAGTGCAGGGGTCCGGGAGCCCTCCAAATGAAAGTGCTTTATCGGGTGTCTCCACAGGGAGCATCTCTTCAGCAACGCCACTGTGCGTTCTTGCTGGACTCAGTCCTGGCCTCAATGGAGCCCCTGCCACCTGCCGGGGTACCTGCCTGTGTTGAGCGTCCACACCTTCCCTGCAGGACTCTGGTGTCTGCTGTGGTGTTCCTAAGCCTCACCTGAGCAGTTCTTCTCTTTTATTGTGTGTTTAAGTGATTTAAATCTTTAAAGAATGAAGGCTGGGAAAATGTAAACAAACTAAGCAGGAGGAGAGTGATGGTGCCCAAGATGTGTGTTCAGAGACCGGTTCCTGAGAACAGAGATAGAGGGGAAGGAAACTCTCCCAACCTGCTAGCTATCCAGTGCGAGTCCTGTTGGCTAAAATTGAAGAATGAATTTTAGGAACAATGGAGGTTAAGAGCAGAATGTGTTTATTGAGAGAAAGAAAGCTTCTATCTGGGAGACAGACAGAAGGGGTCCTGAGCAAGATGCCAAAGACTGTCTTTTCTAGGGACTTCTATAGAGTAAAACCACGAGGTGAGACGGGTTCAAGGTGGGGAAAACATGGGAACTCACAAGGCAGATGGGCATGAGGTGGGACAGAATTGTAGTCGACCAATGAGATTAATTGTTTGGATTAAATTGACCAAATCAGGAACAAAAGGGGAAGCCAGTCACATAGCAAGTGGGCATGCTTAAAGAGCAGTGACTCTTCCTGTAGGGGTTGGGATGGTGACTCCTGGCTTCCTCAAGGTGACCCACACCTATTTAGAATATCAGTCCTATGTCTACACTTAGGGTGTGGTTGCATTTGTTTTGCCTTTTGTCTTGAGACCTGACCCTCAGCAGAGGTGTGTGTCTCCTCCAAGGTCACAAGGTCTTCTGCTCTGGCTCCTTTGAGGTGCCTGCCTGCCTGCCTGTCTGTACAACGATGGACTCAGGTTTAGTGAGCAAAGAGGACACTACTTGCCATCTTTTAAGCTAAACAATTAAGTTTCTCCACCGATTGCACAAGTCACCGTGTGGCAGTGCCGAGGGCCTTGCAGGTGCCCCTGTGCAGTTGCTGACCTGAGTGCCTCCCACGACCACGTGTGATCTTAGCGGCCCAGCAGTCGCATGAGAGGGGTTCTGGTCGCTGTCCCCATGGTTTAGGGGGAAATAAAGCAGGAGTTAGGGAGGTGTGCCAAGCAGGCCGCCGAAGCACGGTGCTGTCCCCAGCCCCCAAGCTGACCTGAGTGCAGAGTACTTGGGGGGCAGGGCTGAGGAGGATGGTGGGACATTGCTCCTGCAGAGTCTTCCCAGGCTCCGTTGTCCCTAAAATTCATTCTCCAGACTCCTAAAGTATGGCTTTGGAGTCCCTTGTTTATTGCTGATCTCTGTTGGACGCTGCTGGCATGGTAAGCTCTGTGTTGCATGCCCGCAAGGACTCTGGGTTATTGCCTGTGCCCCTCCTCTCATTTTAGGGGCACAAGCACAGCCTTCCCCATCTCCTAATGCCTCCTCCACTCCAGCAGCAACTTCTAGTACTCTGCCCAAGTCCGATACCAGTGAGCTCCCTTTGCCCGCGAACCAGGCACAGACTTCTCCTAGACACGCCCAGACTGGCAGCTCTCTGCAGTACTGTCTTGTTGGCTGGTCATGGCCTCCATTCCTCTTTCGATGTGGTTCTAGGGTCTGTTAAGGCTCAGCCTAAATTATGTTTCAAAGTCCAGCGTGCTCCTGACTCTTCCTTTAGGGTGAGAGCAGTTCCTAGGCAGACTTTGTATGGTTCTCTGTGTGTTATGGGCGTTAACCCAGGGGCTACACACTGAGCTACACATTCCCAGCCCCTACCCCTTTTTCTGGTCTTTTTGTGACAGGGTCTTACTATGTAGTTCAGTTGGCCTTGAACTTACTTTGTAGCCCAGGCTGACCTTAGACTCACAGTAGTCCTCCTGC